CAGAAAGAACGGCTCTCGTGTTTCAGCAAATTTGTGCCTCTTTTGATTTACCATCGCCTGAAGAGGTTGCCGAAACATGAAAGCAAATGTGTAGCGAATTCAACATGTTATTATTGTAATCTATTATATATATATATATATATAGAGAGAGAGATATGTAATGGATTAAATCCGACAAATATTTTTTAATATATTTTTGTTTATACATTATTTTTATGGATACAGCTTATGAATAAGTTGTATCCATAAAAATGACGTATTAACAGAAAATATATTCAAATATTTATCAGATTTCATCGATTACGTATAATGTTATATCATTGTTTACGTTACGTAACGTTTCTGAGCAGAAATGATTTATCAAAAAAGGTCGTCGAATGTGTGTGTTTATAAGCAGTAATTTGAACATGGCTAAACCGGAAGTCCTCTGGGACTGTATAGTTTAACAGCGCGTCAGGCCAAATGACGGTTTCCATATGTGATATGGGCCCGATTCCTGGAGGAGGACGAATGTTTTCTGCGGAATTTCTTGAATATTCAGGCCGCTAAATGTAATTAATACTGTTTAATTAAAACAGAGCATCCGCTCAAATAAGTTGTATCCATAAAAATAACAGAAAATATGTATGTTTTATTACTTAAACCTTATTTTTCCTGGCATATTTGAGTGGATGTTCTGTTTTCTGTTTATTTATTGAGCTGTACATTTAATTAATTTCGTCTACCAATCTGGATATTCAAGAAATCTTATTGGACAAATATGTGTTAAGTTTTCTCGAATATTCAGGCCGGTAGACAAAAATAAATAAATGTACTGTTTAATAAATAAACAGGGCGTCTACTCAAATATGGGTATCCATTGAAAATACTGCTAATGTTATTTTTAGTGAGTACTTTTAAACAGTGTATAAAGTATAAATAGTGAAATTAATAATAACTGGTGGAGATTGAGAAGCCCTACTAATGAAAGAGGGTACCTCCGATAGAAATCGAACCTCTATCGCTTTTTCCATCAGATATTGTTTCAATCAATCTGTCGTCCGTGACCGAATTGGTAAAAGCACGTCTCGGCTATAGATGTGGTTTAGCTGATTGAAAAGGGGAATCAGGTTCGCCTCCTGTCGGAAGCACAATCTCTCCTTAGCAGGAATCCTCCATCAACGTTGGTTATTATTAATTTTTTAAATATATATATATATATATATATATATATATATATATATATATATATATATATATATATATATATATGAGTGTATATGTGTATATGTATGTGTACATATATATGTACATATATATATATACATATATATGTGCGTGTGTTTATGTATGTGTGTACATATATATATATGTACATATATATATGTACATATATATGTGTGTTTTGTATGTATGTACATAAATATATATATGTACATATATATATATATATATACACATATATATATATATATATATATATATATATATATATATATGTATATATATATATATACACACATATATAAACACACACATACATATATATATGTACATATATATATACATATATATATATGTGTGTGTACATATATATATATATATATATATATATATATATATATATATATATGTACACACACATATATATCTGTATAAAAAAAACTAAAAATTCTTAAAGCTATATACACAAAACAGTCGAAACCTAACCTGAACAAAACAAACTATGAAATCTCCATCAATATTCTTAAATGTCTATAATTTATAACAGAAGCCATTGATTTATACCAACGGCTTCCCATACATAATACTTCTCGTTTTCACTTTCGCGTGGTCATGTGTGACGTCACGAGTTGCGATACGATTTTCGCTTCCAGCATCTTGTATGCACGAGTTTGTTGTTGCTTGTATATTTTCCATGTAAAGAGAAAAAGAATCTGTCATTGTGTTGTCCGTTTATTGCTTAACATATTGTAATGTCATTGTCATCTTTGATAATAGCTTATATAGGCCGAATGTGTATCAATATTATGATTTTCTTTCTTTGATATGAAGAGAATTTACGTAAAATAAATAGACAACACTTGTCTACATTATTTAATGAAACATGCATCAATATATATATATATATATATATATATATATATATATATATATATATATATATATATATATATGGTATATCAAAAATACTTTTACAAAACCTGGGGCGGGTTCCTCACACGAAAACAAGTACAAAATCCATATAAACATATGTCCGCGAGTCCTTTTTTTTAGGAGTCATTATATATATATATATATATATATATATATATATATATATTGCTAAAGTCAACACCGAATTGTTTCATTTTCATACAAAATCTTCAAGTTCAGGCATCAAACAGTTTATACCAGATATGGATCAATTCATTTATAAATGAAGCATAAATTATATATATTATCGCTTACAGGTTTAAATATACGAGAAACCTTATTAAAGAAAATCTGCACACTCCAGCATAATTCGAACCTGCGTTCCCCTTGATACGACCTTCTTATAGCGACTCAGCCACGAAGGCTATGGATACTCAAGCTGAATAATGCATTTAATCTAAATCCTTCTCGTCAAAATTTCTCAAAATTTCATATCTGCTCAGTTCGGTAACCAA